GATAGCGGCGGCGATGTTTATTTTTTACGTCCTGTCGGGCGATCTGGGCAGGCCCAATGAAGCACCCTGACGTCAGTCAACATTGCTATAATTTTTATTCACCGGTGGTTAAGCACAGGAGTGTACGAAAATATTGTGTATAAATAAATATAATGCGTTCCTCATGCGGTCATAGTTGAACTGCTACCTTTTTTACAAAGATATTGTGCAGCGAAAAACTCACGAAAAATCTGTAAGAAAATACTATGTGTAGCAGGAATGAATTCGTAATAATCACCTTGTCTCCGGTGAATTTTTCGGCAAGTAAATAACCCGTTATAAACCATCAAATAAAATGGGGCGTACCGGCTGGAGTTGTTGTGTTACATTGTGACATCTTGTACTTGTTGATGTGGCTGTGTTACGAAAATTAGGCAAGTTTTTCCTATCAAAGTCCCGGGGCGTGCGTCTCACCCTCCCAAACACGTACATACACTTGCATATCAACAACGATTCACGTACGTATTACCCTGAAAGCAAGTACAAATGTACTTCCACACGGCTGGCAAAGTTTCATTCGGTGGGAAAGGCATTCTAGTTCTCGATGTCAGTTGAGAAAAACGTTTTGGAATGAAATCGGGATGAGAAAAATACGATCATTATGCCGCGTGTAGGACTGAGCAATGGAGCGGAGCATTTGAGTTGGAAATCTTGAGGCCCAGCGAGTGGGCGGGTCCCCGTCTGTGCGCTATGATTGGGCGCCGGGCGGTCTGCTAGCCATGCTGCGTACGTGCCGTTTCTATGGCAACGTGGCCAGTCACAGCAACGCGAAATGTAGCAATATTCTTGATCGGCGTAAACAAAGCCAAGGGGCGTAAGAACCTTTGAATTATGCTTCGCCCCCCTCTTTTCTTATGATGTTTTATTCTCTCTTTCGTCAACTCCGTGCGTCGACCTCCCCTACTTTAGGTAGAAAAATAAATAACTTCTCGACTGGCGACATGGCACGTGGATGTGTTAGATTTGAACGTTATATCTGAGATAGCGCGGGTCGGGTGACATCAAAAGCAGTACTTAGCGGGCCGTCCACATCGCAAGGTCAGACAGAAATCCTCGTACCAAGAAGGTTGTATTATTTTGTTATCGTTCTAAACATTATCAAGCCACCAGATTTTCCCATAGTAAGAAAAAAAGTTACATGATTAAAAACTATTCGTTTGTGCTACTGTTATCATTATGCATTGGAAACAAACATGCGCTGCACCGTCTGTCTGTAAAAATCTTAGTCGACGTGGAATTCTCAAAAAATCCCGCTTGATATCCCGATGATGAACCGGATTTGATGATCCCATGAACTGTACTGTATTATCCCGAAAAAGATTGAAACTGTCTGACAAAACGACAAAATGTAATGTTACATCATGTGTCAGAAACGTAAACAAACGCCCCCGGGGCCCCGCGACTACATTACAAAGTCGACAATAGTTACGGATGAGCAAAAATAGTGACCTTCAAAATTCTGTTTACTTTATACATATGAGATTCTATCAAGTCAGGAGTGGGGAGTGTATGTGACATACAAAAAGTTACATAAACAAAGTCGCCGGCGTTCTGTGGAAATCTGCAGTCCTACTTGTGGATATTGAACCCAAAACCTCCATGCAATATTCTATACTCGAGACTGGTATTCATATGGCCGTATTTTACGAAGAAAAAGGAAAACTTACCACTGACATTGGTCCACCGATCTCTTCCCGTGTCATACGACGGCGGATGCCCATATTTGGAAAGCTCGGGTGTTCCGTAGCGCTGGGGTCATTGACCCGCGGTTATCGAACTCGGAATTCGAATGCTGTTCCATGGTTCTAAAGTTCCAAACGCGTTCTTTTTGTTCAATTTTTGGCTTAAAATGCAACTTTTTTCACCCATTTGTTGCCAATAAAATCATTTTTTGACATCCATGTTGACCAAAATTACCGTGGTTTAGTGTTTTATGTACCAACCTACCAACATGCTTAATTTCATTTTCCTCCAGGCTCTAATTACGAAAATATCGACGATTTTTAGGTGTTTGGAGAAGAGGAAATTGAGCAAATATAATATGTTTACCGCTTTCTTCGGTAAACATAATAACATGAAGCAGCTGTTTAAGAAGGGCATCCATCATTCACAGAGGTTGAAATTTAAAGATAACTGTCCTACCTGGAGCACAAAGAAGAACGTCCATTCTCATGCTTGGGCCGTTAGACCACGACAGTGGGTGAAACCGAACAAACCGTGTCAAAACCGGTGGAGCAAGAAGCTGCGTGGCTATGGTGTTTTGGTTTGTATTGCCTGTAAACTCCTAAAAGTTGAAGAACAACAACAAAATTAAAGCACATATGTTCACTGAAAAGTCCTCGAACTATTATAAAGGCCTTACCTATTTTTGTATCACAAATAAATTATTGAAACAAGCAACTTTTAATTTAAAAAAGACATTAAAATTTGGATACAATTAGTAAATCGAATTTCTAGGATGAACAGTCAGGGTGAAATTATAAAATGATGACAGATGCAGTAATAGTGGCTGCAT